GAACAGAAACATATAAAAGATCATATTTAAGAACTGTTTCACTGAAGAGTCTATAAATGAAGTTTAAGAATGGCAAAACTTTTTAGCAGCTTATTTACGAAGAACTGAAGGGGTTACATGACACACAACACACACAAATGAGGACGATAATCATGCCTAAAGCCACCACACTAAAAGGTCACATCCCAGTCATAGATTCCCTTGAAGGGACGAACGTGCACTTAGAAGCAGCTGATATTCTGTCCTGCAGATTGGACAAATACAGCCGGCTCTGTCTGAGACTAGTGTCCTCGCTGTTCCAGTAAACATAACCATATTTATCCTTCCTAAGCCAAACAGGCAGCAAACGCTTTAGGACACTCTCAGGAATCAGCTGGTGAGGTGTGAGCAAGCGTCTGTCACTTGTATTTTTGGTTGTTTACTTGTTGTATTGGCCCCTGTACCCTGTTTAGTTGCAAACAGCAGCAGAAGACATATACAGAGCATTTACTATGGATTGTAAAGGTTCTGTTTGCAGAAAACAATTGGTACAGTTAAAAATGTAAGTATATATATATATATATATATTTATATATTAATTTTTAATTTTTTACAATTTATTTTAAATTGTAGCAAGGCTCGGAATTCATTAAGGTCGAATACAAGTTAATCTAGAAGTAATATAACTTTTTAGCTGGGAGCCTATTTACAAAATGACAACACTACATCATAGATACCTATTAAATCTGTTGACCTACAACATTAAAACAACTCCAATCAACCTTAGCCAGTATACATTTTTCAGTAGCCCAAGGGTGCAGGTGTCGGTACAGAGAGAAATTAATTATCAAGAGCCTTTTAATTTATTCGTAATCTCAATCCAATAGCCATAGATGCTACTATCCGGTGATAACATACATTATATATAGAGATAGAGGGAGCTTTATAAAAGTGTTGATGCTGTAAAACTAGGGTGTGCTGGCAGGGCCGTCTTTAATGTTGATTGGTCCCTGGAAAAGCATTTGCTTGGGCCCCTGGTCTCCTCACCATTCCCTGGCATGCAATCACCCCAATGCAGTGGTGGAACTAAAGTAGAAAGAGCCCTGGTGTAAGAAATATTTGAGCCCACCAATCTCAAGCTTGGCCAAAAGGTAGATCCCTATCTGTCGTGCAACTCCAATAATGCTTCAACAACTGGGGCTCTTCCATTTTCCATGCCTGCATGGTTCTTCTATGTAGTACTAAACCGTGTTTGTGTGTTTGAATGTAAGCATGTTTTGCATGGATTATGTTTGTGTGCATAGGGTGTGTTTGTATGTAGTGTTGGAGTTTAAATTCAAGCATGCATTTATGTGTGGTGTTGGTTTTTGAATGTAGTGGTGAGTTTATATAGACTTTTGGTGTTTAACACAGAGGTGTGTTTGTATGTAGTGTTGAAGTTTGTATGCAGTGTTGGTGTTGAATGCTGAGATATATGCACATATAAAAAATACACTGATACACACACTGTGAAGCACATACACACATACACATACACACATTGAAACACATGCAGATATACAGACACATTTACACACACTGAAACACATGCAGATACAGACACATTGACTGACACAGATACAGATACACTGATACACATACAGACAAACAGATACACAACCTGACACAGATGCAGATGCTCAGATGCACAGATACACATTGACACACATACAGATACACAGACACGCACACTGTCAGACATATTGACACAGACACTGATAATTAATGTAATTATATGTGTCAGTATATCTGTAAGTATATGTGCCTGTGTGTGTCAGTATGTCTGTCAATATATGTGCCTACATACACTGATAGACATACTGACACACACACAGACAGACATAGTGACACACACAGATTTTATGTGTAGTGTTGGTTTTTGAATGTAGTGGTGAGTTTATATATACTTTTGGTGTTTTTACACAGAGGTGTATTTGTATGTAGTTTTGACGTTTCGCTGCAGGAGTATGTTTGTATATAGTGTTGAAGTTTGTATGCAGTGTTCATGTTGAATGCTGAGATGTATGCTCTGGAAAAGAATACACTGATACACACACTGTCAAGCACATACACACAGATACACATACACACATTGAAACACATGAAGATATACAGACACATATACACACAGTGAAACACATGCAGATACAGACACATTGACTGACACAGATACAGATACATCGATACACATACAGACAAACAGATACATAGCCTGACACACATGCAGATGCTCAGACGCACAGATACACATTGACTCACATACAGATACACAGACACATACACTGTCAGACATACTGACACAGACACTGACAGTTAATGTAACTATATGTGTGTCAGTATGTCTGTCAGTATATGTGCCTGCATGTGTGTGTCTGTCAGTGTATGTATGTATATGTGTGTCGGTATGTCTGAAACACACACACACACACACACACGCATGCAGGCACACATACTGACACACACACAGACACATACACATGCACATATATTGACAGACATACAGGCATACACACAGACGCATACACTGACAGGCATACTGACACACACAGATACATACACTGATAGACATACTGACCCACACACAGGAACCCTATCTTCCTAGTTAGTAGCTATTTAGTTTTAGTCCTCCTCCCTCTTTGCTGTGTATCACATTAGGTGTACCAGATCTATCTATACTGTCACATACACTGACAGACATATGGACACACACAGGCACATATACTGACAGGCATACGGACGCACACAGATAAATACACTGATAGACATACTGACACACACACACATACTGACACCACTGACAGGCATACTGACACACACAGATACATACACTGATAGACATACTGACACACATACAGACAGACATACTGACACACACACGTACATTAACTGATAGACATACTGACACACACACAGACAGACATACTGACATACACACTGACAGGCATACTGACACATACAGATACATACACTGAGAGACATACTGACACACACACAGACAGACATACTGACACACAGATACGTACACTAACAGACATACTGACACACACACACACACACACACAGAGGCATACTGACACACACATGTACAATTTACATTTTCTAAACCCACCCCCCGTTTCCTACCTTTTTCTGGAGGGTGGCTACCCTGGGGTCCAGTGTGGTGACTGAGGCTGATGGGAGTGAGGAGCCCCCATCCATACTGCCTGCTCCTCCCTCCTGCATGGCTTCTCTCTCTCTGTGGGAGGAAGTGACTGGCGGCTGTCACTTCCTCCCAGCCGGCTGCTGAAAAGTAAGGAGCCGGGTCGTGCTGTTAAAGGGCCACAGCGCCCGACTGGGCCCCTGCTAAATCAAGCCCACCTAGTGGGCCTCCTTCAGGTGCGGCCCCAGGCTCCACCGGTGGGCCCATAGGGATGGAGGGGGAATAAATAGATCAGGGCAGAGGGGCTGACGGGGAGTAACTGGGCCCGGGGCAGCTGCCCTGTGTTAAAGATGGCCCTGTGTGCTGGTACAACAAATTCAATCCATGTATACAAGAGAGCTACCAGATAGGTCAAAAGTCTGATGCTTAATGTCAAATAATCATGGGATTATCTATTATTAAAAGGGAAACTTAAGTGCTGTGTTCAAAAAAGTGGTGCAAAGATACAATAGGTGAAAAATCACCAATGGAACATGCCAGCTGGTTAAACTGGTTTGTTAAGTTGAATATCTACTGTAGCTTAAATTGCTGAAAAATTTAATGCCATGATTGAAAGGTGTCAGAACACAGAGTGCATTGCAGTTTGCTGCGCATAGACCTGTGTAGCTGCAGACCAGTCAGAGTGCTCATGATGACCCCTGTCTACTGCCGAAACCATGGAGCAATGTGTATGTATATATATATATATATATATATATATATATATATATATATATATATATATATACAGTATACACTGATCAGACACAACATTAAAGTAATCTACCTAATATCATGTAGGTCCTTCTTGTGCTGCCAAAACAGCTCTGATGTGTTGAGGCAAGAACGCCACAATACCTCTGAACATGTCTTGGCACCAAGACATTTGCAGCAAATCCCTCCTGGTCTTTTACGTTCTTCAAGCTGCAAGGTGGGTTCTCTGTGATTCACATTTGTTGTTCCAGCACATCTCACAGAGTCTCAGGCCGGTCAATATCAAACAATATATATATTGTTGTGTAAAAGAAAGGACTGTCTATCTTGCATCCTGGACAGAAACCAGACATGCATATATACATGGAACATAAAAGGAAAAATAGTGTGATACAGTATGCAAAATCAATCATGTGCTGTACAAGAATGCACCCACGATATGGTGTAGAGTTAAGTGCTCATAGGGTGCCTCCCTGATGGTGTGGGGGCCTAATGATCCCCTTTTCAATATGAAGTAACCAGTGGTACACAGGACTTCAAATGGATGATGATAAAAATCAACTCTTTTATTGTTTTAACAGGTGAAAAATCACCATCAGCATAGGATAAAAAAGAAAGCGATAGGTCCTACGTGTTTCATTCTGCAAGGAACTTACTCAGGGACCGCAATAATGATAAAATCAAACACAACACTTACAAAGTGTAAAACAACAGGATATGGTCTCTCAGTCTGGTTCAGTAGGAATCACAATCATGGGGAAGACTGCTGACCTGACAGTTGTGCAGAAAACCATCATTGACACCCTCCATAAGGAGGGAAAGCCTCAAAAGGTAATTGCGAAGGAAGTTGGATGTTCTCAAAGTGCTGTATCAAACCACATTAAAAGAAAGTTATGAGAAAGGGAAAAGGTACACAAGCAGCAGGGATGACTGCAGCCTGGAGAGGATTGTCTGGAAAAGGCCATTCAAAAGTGTTGGGGACTTTCACAAGGAGTGGACTGAGGCTGGAGTCAGTGCATCAAGAGCCACCACACACAGACGGATCCTGGACATGGGCTTCAGGTGTCGTATTCCTCTTGTCAAGCCACTCCTGAACAACAAACAACGTTAGAAGTAGACATGTGCAATTCGCTTCGGGCCGAATATGAATTCGGACAAATTTCGGGCAATTCGGGTACTTCCGAATGTCCGAATAGCCGAAGTGCCGAATTACCGAGGTCCTGAAGTTCCGAATTTGCCGAATTTCCGAAGTGTCGAAGTTGCCGAAGTTCTGAATTGCCGAAGTTCCGAAGCGCAGTATTGCCTAAGTACTAATATACTTACCCAGTGGAAGAAGAAGAATGTTACACTGTATATAATTTTAAATAAAAAGTATACAAACATTAACCCCTACCTACCCACCTCACCCTAAAAATAATGAGGGGGGACCATTTAACTAAGTACCTGAAAAAAAACATAGCATTTGATGTTTTCTTTCTTCTAAAATCTTATTTTTTCAGCCCCAAAAAGGCCAAAGAAAAAAACCATAATAACCGTCGCACTTTAAAAAAAAAAAAAAAAGAGCGCAAAAAAATTATAATCCATCTTCACCCGGTGAGGGCTCCACGCAGACCGAGCTCTGCAGGGCGGGGGAAGGCTTATAAAGCCTTGCCCCGCCCTGCAATTAGGCTCAGAGCACTCTGATTGGTGGGTTTAAGCCATCCAATCAGAGTGCTCTGACAGGTAAATGAAGAGACTGACTCTGATTGGTTGGTTTGAAATTTACCAATCAGAGTGCTCTGTGTCATTTTACACAGCGTGGGAAAGTTCTTTGGAATTTCCCCGCGCTGTGTAATTTGACTCATAACTCTCTGATTGGTGGATTGAGTAACTCAGGGGTGGGGGCCGGAGGGGAGGACAATAGGTCCCCCACCATTATTTTACTTTAGGGCCCTCACCCGCCGCTCAGGGGTGGGGGCCAGGGGGGAGGACAATAGGTCCCCCCCATTATTTTACTTTAGGGCCCTCACCCGCCGCTCAGGGATGGGGGCCAGGGGAGAGGACAATAGGTCCTCCCCATTATTTTACTTTAGGGCCACCTCCCGACGCTCAGGGGAGGGGGCCGAGGGGGGGCAATAAGTCCACCCCATTATTTTACTTTAGGGCTCCCACCCATTGCTCAGGGGTGGGGGCTGGGGGGGGCAATAGCCCCCTCCTTTAGTTTAAAAGCTCGGGAGGGGGGACCCATTTTTTTATTTTTATTTTTTTAACAGTGAGCAGCCACGGTATAGCGAGTTGGGGCACAATTTACTAATACTAAGTAATTTTTACTTAGTATTAGTAAATTTGGCTAAAAGACCAATTTAGGTCTATCTACCTTAGATAACTCCCTAATACCATGGAAATTAGGGAGTTATCTACCAAGCGGCTGCAAGAGACGTTCCAAAATTCCAAAGTCCCGAAGTGCCGAAGTTGCCGAAGTGCCGAATTGCCGAGGTCACGAAGCTCCGAAATTACCGAATTTCCGAAGTGTCGAAGTTCTGAACTTCTGAAGTTCTGAAGTGTCAAAGTTGCTGAAGTTCGGAAGTGTCGAATTGCCGAAGTGCCGAATTGCCGAAGTCCCGAATTTTGGAATGCCGAACCAAACAGAAAAATTTTCCCATGCACATGCCTAGTCAGAAGCATCTTACCTGGGCTAAAGAAAAACAGACCTGGTCTGTTGCTCAGTGGTCCAAAGTCCTCTTTTCTGATGAGAGCAACTTTTGCATCTCATTTAGAAACCAAGGAGTCCAGTGTGAAGTTTCCACAGTCTGTGTTGATTTGGGGAGCCATGTCATCTGCTGGTGTTGGTCCACTGTGCTTCATTAAGTCCAGGGTCAACGCAGCTGTCTACCAGGAGATTTTGGAGCAATTCATGCTTCCTTCCACAGACGAGCTTTATGGGGATGCTGACTTCATTTTCCAGAGGGACTTGGCACCTGCCCACACTGCCAAAAGCACCAAAGCCTGGTTCAATGACTGTGGGATTACTGTGCTTGATTAGCCAGCAAACTTGCCTGACCTGAACCACATAGAGAATCTATGGGGCATTGCCAAGAGAAAGATGAGAGACATGATACCAAACAATGCAGAAGAGCTGAAGGCCGCTATTGAAGCATCCTGGTCTTCCATAACACCTCAGCAGTGCCACAGGCTGATAGCGTCCATGCCACGCCACATTGAGGCAGTAATTGCTGCAAAAGGGGCCCAAACCAAGTACTGAGTCCATATGCATTCTTATACTTTTCAGAGGTCCGATATTGTTTTATTGATTGCATGTAATATTCTAATTTACTGAGATTGTGGATTTGCGGTTTTCATGAGCTGTAAGCCATAATCATTGCACTTATGACAAATCACGACTTGAACTATCTTGCTTTGCATGTAATGCGTCTATCTCATATATTAGTTTCCCCTTTTATGTTGCATTACTGAAATAAATGAACTTTTGTACGATATTCTAATTTTTTGAGTCTCACCTGTATATGTAAGAAGTTTTTATCTTGACAAATATTCTATTATGTTGAAACATTGTTGGGTTCATCAAAATTAATTAAAAATGAAGCATTTGGTATTTCTGAGAAACACTGTGATGACATACCCGCTCTGTGAAGAGCGAAACTGAAAAGATGAAATAACATTTTATTATTTTAACAGAGCTCAGCCTGAGTATCTCCATTTATAGCCTTCCTTTTCCAGCAGGACTCCTACAGTAATTATAGCAGCTCACCCAAACATCAGCTCAGACTTGATGAAGGGTGAAAAAAAGAGTGTCTTTATTAAAAAACCACACATATTTTTACCAGTTACATCTGCATGGGGGTGATTAAAAGAACAATTTCAGTTCCCTCCCAAGCACCACCATGTCTGAGTATGAACTGTTAATTAAATCAACCTGAGATAATTGAGTTCTGTTAATACTTTCCTTCCCAGACAGTGGCAATAAAAGATTACATTGACATTTTTGAATATGTTGCAACACAGGGTCCATAGCATGTGGAGAGGAGGCTGGCCTTCAAGTCCCTCCACCAGCCCCAGAAATGAGACATCCATTACAGTTCTTCCCCCCAAAGGGTAGACAAACCAGATACCGTACCTCAAAACGGTCTGTGCCTGAGTTAGTTGGGAAACAGGTTTTCTCCATCCTCCCAGTAAGTAGAACACAGCTCCACTCACTACAATCGCAGTTCCTTGTGCAGGTGACAAAGGTGTGCCAGTATCAACAGCATATGCCAGAAGTGACTGCATATTCTCAAAGATTCTATGAACCACACAACACCGTTGAGGAGGGGTACCATCTGCACCCACTCCCAGCTTGTGGAGAGGTGCTACCTGTATTCTCTCCCTTCCGCTGGGGAGCAAAGATGATTACCGTCTCTCCCTGGAACACCTTCTGCCATACGGAGGAATGCCATCTGCACCATCTCCCCTGGATCCGGTTCTTCTGCTTGGGAGAGTTGCAAACCACATTCTCTTCCTGATGTTCAAACTGCCGCTGTACCCGCTGCCTGGATCCCAATATGTGTCACATCCTGTTCCTCGCTGTGGATCATTCTGGCAATGGCTTCTGGTATCCAGTACTCTTTTTGCTGTCCTTGCTTGGTTTTTCTGGTTTTCTGGTCTGTCTGGTTTTCTTTGTTGCTGGGTTTCTGGGTTCATTCTTATATTCCATCCCTGGATTTCCCAGTCTCTTGGATTCACTTAAATGTTTGTTTTATGTTGCCACACCTTCTTGTTTTCCACTTTCCTTTTGTTTCAGCCTGAACCTGCAGCAGTGTTTCTAGTCTCTGCCCTTTCTTGCAGGTAAGTGCTATATTGTGGTTTAGTATGGTTGTTTTAGCATACATTAGGCAGTGTTGGACCTGCCAGATATGGGGTACATTGGCGTTGTTGGCAGGCTTGTGCAATGTATGATCATATAATGTGACTAAATCCCCATACTTTTCATATATAGTGCTTAGTTATGTCTCCTCTTGTTTTACCTTGTATTTCTTGTTTTGTTTTATTTAGTCTTGTAATCCCAGTCCATGTACAGTCCTGTCCACTCAAGCCCATGTTATGTTCTTGTTTTCCTCATGTCTTGTGTACATGTTCTAGGTTCTGCTTTCTGTCCTGCTCTGGTTCCTGGTTCTCCTAGTTTTGTCTTGTTTTCATGTATGGTGCCTATTTCTAGTCTTGCCCTGTTCTCCTAGTTCTTTCTTGTTTTCATGTATGGTGCCTATCTCTAGTCTTGCCCTGTTCTCCTAGTTCTGTCTTGTTTTCATGTATGGTGTCTATCTCTAGTCTTGCCTTGCTTCAGTACTGGATACATCCCTGCTGCAGAGACTCCCACTTCTCATCAGGCACTCAGGGGTCCAGGTTTCCGGACCGCCACCCTGACAATATGATACTGGGGAGAGAGGCTGACTACCGTCTCTTCCTTGATCTCCTTCTGCCGCTATGGAGAGAGACATACAACTTCCTCTCCCTGGTGTTTGAACTGCCGATGGGGAGGAATGTCACCTGCATCGGTTCCCTGAATCTTACACTGCCACTAGAGAGAGAGGCTGAATACTGTCTCTCCCTAGAGCTCCTTCTGCTACTTGGGAGAGATGATGACTGCCTCCTCTCCCTGGCCCTGGCTCTGCCATCGGTGAGAGAGGCCAATTACCATCTCTTCCTGGAGTTCTTTCTGCCACTGGGGAGGGAGACTGACAACCTTCTCCACCTGGCACTTGAATTGCACCTAGGGAAAGATGCCCCCTGCATTCTCTCCCTGAATCTCAATTGACCACTGGGGCGAGAGTCCAACTACTGTTTCTCCCTAGAGCTCCATCTGCATAATGCTTGTACCCCCTCCCTGGATCCCAATTTGCCGTTGGAGAGATATACCACCTGCATTCTCTCACTCTGCTGTTGGTGACCGAGGTCGACAACCTCCTCTACTTGGGTCCTTCTCTACCACTGGGGAGGGAACCAGCTTACAAACTCTCATTATCTCCATAAGTCTGCCACTGGGTACAGAGGCCAACAAACTCCTCTCCTAGGCTCTGCTTCTGAGAAGGGAGGCCAACTACCTCCTCTCTCTGGCTCTGCTGCTGGGGAGAGGTGCTGAAAACCAACTCTTGACAGAGCCCACAAGCCATAATCCCTAATCTCACCTCAACCATAAGGATCTAGTAATCCTGCTGCATTGCTTTCACCTTGGACATGTCACAAAAACCAATCTTCAGATATGTGGACCCAGTAAGGCCAGCCACCTATTGCACCTTGCTCAGGAACTCTGATTCCTTAAACCCTCCCGATGAGGAATAGTTGGTCTGATGACTCTCT